AGAACCCCTCCCTCAGCTGGGCAGGGTTCACCTGGTTGTAATCTGAGCTGGCCTAACTAGGCGGGCTGACGGTCGTGACAGGGTGACAGTACTCCAGATGGGGAAGCGCTTCGCTCTTGAAGATTGTTATGAGGGACGGACCGTCTAGATATCTGAACGACCATCTTATAAGACCCAATAATTTATTTGCCTGATTTACCTTCTTCTTGCAATGGCCCGAGAACTTCAGCTCATTGTCAACATACACACCTAGGTCCTTCTCACATACAGTCTCAAATGGTGCAGTTTCTTCATCCCGTTGGGACATATGAAACGCCTCCTTACCGTTGGTACACTCCAGGTGCATCCTCTTATACTTCGTGACATTAAATCTCAGCAGCCATTTCTTCGACCATTCTTGGAGCCCACAGAGGTCTTTCTGCAGCTCTTCACAGTCCGCTTGGTTTACATGCTTATAAATTCACAAATGCACACACACACATGCACAAACACACAGTCTTCTCATGTACAATAGTCTGGTCTCTTCACTTTGAGGAAAAATTTATTCTTGTCCCTTATCTTTGTTCTCTGCTTTTGTTTACAGTATTTTCTATTTCGTCTTCATTGTGTCTTCCAACTTCTTCCTAATAAATAAATTTTCAAATAAAGTATAAACCATCTATTGGCACCATTAATCTGTGTAATTTAAATTAAAATGCATTTCTTAAAACAATAAACAGCTCAAGACAGGAGATACTAATGATCATTGGCACTATGAGTACACTATTTAGTGGGCTTTATATTATATCAACTCTATGTAGGAGAGTTTCAGAGATGCAGTAATAAGGCAAAAGCTATTTTTGGTGCTCAGCAATGTGCCTCTTGAGACTACTGAACTTAGCAGACTTATAAGAACAATCTGAACAAGAGTACTGCTGGTGTCTTGAGTGAGTACGCATGTGGGTGTTGAGGGCGCCAATCTGAGTACTTCTGTAACTACAAAGTGGGCAGGCATATGGCTTCTCTCCTGTATGAGTACGTATGTGCACTTTGAGGATGGAGTTGTACAAGAATCCTTTTGGACAGTGTGGACATAAAAACGGTTTCTTGGTGTGTTTTCGTACATGAACTAACAGGGGAGAACTAGTAGTAAAGGTCTGGTAACATATTGGACACTCAAAGTTTTTCTTAACAGTGCTTGGCATCTCCATGGGTCCCCAAGGTCCCTTTTCATCTGTCCTTTCACCACCCACATCTAGTACCTGTAAGAGATAGCAGTCTTACAAGGAGTCACCACATCCACTCCCCAATAACCAAACATGCACACTCGATCCAAAAATTATCTTTACGGAGGGGTCCGATGAATTGGTAATACAGCCCTCAAAAGTGAACAAAATACTAAATTCCTTAGATGTTGAAGTGCAGTAATAACACTATAACATCAACTCTGAAGACATTACATATGGATCTTCCTCTATACAACCTGAGCTCATCGGATTCAGTACAGTACTTCCGAAATTCTTCTATCACAATACTTTTAAAACATTCTCCCAGCCCTAATTAGTTTTGACAGGTTCTTTTGCTATCTCACTCTAAATCTTTATTCTTTTGATAGATGACAATGCTCCCTATGGAGTCATTTACTGCACTGTATACAGATTGCATGTGTCAAGTGTACAAGGGCTAATTTTCCACCTGTAGTGTACCGATACTTAAAAAATAGATAACCTACACTGTTATTTTTGCCTACTTGCTTGCTTACTCCTTTCCCCTTTCTTACACTGTTTCAAATACAGTTGGATCTTCATTTGCGCGGTCAATTGAACCCGCGGAGTACCGCGTAAAACGAGAAACGCGTAAATGAAATAACAGAACATATGGGATTAATTGAAATAGTGACTGGGCCGACCCCCAAACTCCACTTTTTCCAACACAATACGTACCTTGTAGTCAAAATAACATCTTAATTTCCTAGTGTCAGTGCTAGTGATGCTAGTGGAGTGAAACGTAAAGGGCAGAAGTCAGTGATGACCCTGACAAAGAAAATTGAATTAGTGTACAGTATTAAACAAGTTAAAGGAGTGCTGCCGTGGCTGGTCAGTTGTTTGGTCCGAGAAATCAACCAGGCATTGGCCCTGCTAAGAAATGTTTAAAGACCTTAAAACCAAGAGGAAACAACTACCAATCACGTTGTTTTTCAAGAAAGAACCAGTCGCTTGCCCAGATGATTCATCTCCCTCCTTCACTCAAGTCAGCTGCTCCTGCCGCTCCACCACCCTTCTACCACCCACCCGCCCCCAAGCCATGCGCCTGTCCACCACCAGCCTCTCCACCAACCACCACTGCATCAACCTCCTCCAACAGTGATCCTGATGATCTCCCAATGCTTCAGTCACCAGATTTCTTCCTACTGTACAGTACACCACTTCATCAAGCTTCAAACTTCCAATTACGAAGGTAAGTAGTATTGGTGACTTAAGTTTCTCATACACAGCATAGGCATACATTATTGCACTAAGGTAGTATAAGTTGCTATTTGTGGTTTTGCCAATTTGCGCCATTCCTTGGAACCTTGCCCTCACGAATAGCAAGGGTTTACTGTACTATACAATTTTTATCATTTTCCTGTGATCAAGAAAGCCAAGGAAAGTTGGTTTATAATTGATGGTGTTTATTAAGCACAACACAAGTGTTAGTCTCAGTATTTACTAAAATCAATATAACAATCTCTCTTAAAGATATGTGGCGTTAAATAAAAACATTTCGTTTAAATGTAACATATACATAAACATTTCTCAAGATTAACGTTATTTGTAATGTCCTTTGTAAGAGGAGGAGTAGCTGGCAGTCTTTGGTTCCTCAACTTGAGTTCCATCATAATAAAAACTCCTGAGACTCTTTTACCAGGTGGCTGTAAAGTTTTAAATAATGTCATCACACAAAATATTCCATTAACAACAAGACAGATTTGTCTGGAACACGTGTCAACTCTCAGCGTGTGTTGTTGAACTACTGTACCAGAAAAAACAAACTATGGTCATGAAGACTTTGTAAGGCAAACCTGTATATAAAACAATCAATGTAATAAAAGATCAAGTTTGGCAAAAGAAAAATTAAACGAATTACAGTATAAGAGAAAAAGAGGAAATGGCCAAATATGATCTTATGTTTGTTGGTGGGTTGTTATAAAGGCTGGCATGAAAAACACTCCTAATGGCCTTGTGAAGAATGATTATATAGATGTATAAACAAACAAGAAAATCTTACACAGTGATCCTTAATACTCTCACTCAGAGTTGTTTAGTCCATAACAAGAGACACAAGAAAGTAATGAGCCGTATGTTTATAATAGATGTACTGTGCTGTGCTGTGCTGTACTGTACTGCACTGTACTACTTACTGGGTAACACTGCTACTGTACTGTACAGCATATAAATTTTTTTGAATACAGGCAGTCTCCAATTACAAAGATCCCGTTTATAAAGTTACGAAAAAGAAAGTCACATGGGATAGAAAGATTCCAGAGAAAACAGAGCTGCTCTGGAATCACTTAAAATGTGCCAGCGGAAAGAATAAAATGTTAAATAAGTTAAAAAAAATTCAGATAGAACTTCACCCACAATAAAACCTTTTCATAAATTTAAGAATGTGTGTACAGTAATTTTCTCATATTCTGATGCATTACAAGTACAGTTGTTGACAATCCCTTATCCGAAATCCTTGGGGACAGATGCATTTCGGATTCCGTAATTTTTCAGATTTCAGAATGGTTAGGATATATATATATATATATATATATATATATATATATATATATATATATATATATATATATATATATATATATATATATATATATATATATATATATATACATATATATATATATATATATATATATACACACAGTCATGAGTTGCTAACGTCCTAGATACGTTCTTGGAAACGTGACGTTAACCGACTTGGACGGTGTCCGAACATCACATTGTGAACTTTGTATTTATACTTTCGTGTATGTGGAATATTGCAGTGTACTTGTACTGTACAATATTGACTAAATTCACTAGATAACGTACACAACTAATGAAACACAGAGGATAAGAAGGCTAAAAAATAACATAATGTCTACATTGCCGACGAGGCCAAACCAAGCATACACTGTTATACAGTTTGTAAACTTTTTATTTCGTAAGTAAGGAAATCAAATTAAAAGTACTGTACTGTACACTACAATAGCCAAAAACACAAACCAGTAACATACCGGTAGGCATTTCTTATATCTATCAAAACATATTATGGATATATAGTTACTGTACTGTATCATCATACGCCTGGCAGCACAATCTATTTTGTTTAAGAACACGTGATGCATGCGTGAGCGCGCCCGCTATAAGGCCACTTACGTCTGCTACGTCCCGTTGTCTGAACTTTTTTTTTATCCCCATTATTTTCTTATTATTTTTATGGGCCACGGACGTATATGCGATCAGACGTTGTTCGGACGACATAAAGCGACGCATGACTGTATATACGTATATACAGTATATATATATATTTTTTTTTTAATTCAGGGATCAGACCACCCAGGCACAGGTCACTGACCCACATTGGGGCCTGGGGGCCTAAAATATAGTAATAATTACAGTATAGTAATAATAATAATTATTCATAGGTCTAGGTCGTGTTTCTCACTTTTGAACTTGTTTTTCATTCTTGTATTTCTTTATTATTATTATTATTATTATTACAGTATTATTGTTATTATTATTATTAATTTTATTATTAATATTTTATTATTTTTAATTATTATTATCATTTATTATTTTATTTTTGTGTAGTATATTTTATTATAAATTTTATTTACTGTGAATAATTATTATTATTATTATAATTATTATTACATTTTCGCCCCCAGGCCCCGATGTGTGTCAGTGACCTGTGGCCAGGTGGGCTAATCCTAGTTTATTATTAAAGAAAAAAAAATTGTTCCACAAAAAACTTTCGGTTTTCGGATATCCTAGTAATGCGACTATTTTTTATTGAAATACTTATGTACAATAATGAATTTAATGATTCTACAGTAATTTATTTTCCAACACCTTTATAGGAGTAAATTTTGAAACTGTGAAAGGAGAAAATATGTTTACTGTTAGCTGAAAGAAGATGGGATTATGGGGTAGATGTGACAACAGAAAGACTGAACCATGTGAAATGAGATAAACTGTCAATTCCTTTCGTAACAAAAAAATCAATACAACTGATGAATGCTTTCCAAACACAAGAATGACCTACTTTTGACCTCTGACACCAGATTGCCTTGACCTTCAGGAGAGGGACAACAAGTAGTCTTCAAACTCTTTAACTTTGACCTCCAGCAATGACCTTGACCTTTGAGATAAATAACTGAATTTGGTGATTTACATCTGACAAGTGATGACACATATTCATTGTAAGTTTCATAAATTATATCTACAAGTACTCAAGAGGAATCCTTCAGCCACGATTCTGACAGTATGACAAACCTGTACAAGACATATCCCCATACTGTACTGATATTATCAACGATTTACAAATACTGTACAATACAGAGTACTACAAGATAATGCTTTTTCATACAGAGGGAGCCAGACCTATGGAATGGTCTGCCAGCCCAAGATATGGAATCAAGAACAGTGCTGAGGCAACACAACACTCTCAACAATCAAGAAGACACTAAAAAAATCTAAAATCTCATCAATATTCTGGTATACTGTACACTCCCTCCCTGGTCTTCCCCACTAAAAACAAACAAACAAAAAACATACTTTGTGACATGAGCACAAAAAATTAATAAAAATGCCTGAATACATCCCACACCCATAACCATTACTTCAATGCACATGATTTTAATATCGAAAATGAAGGAGCTTGATAACATACGTCTCGGCTGCAAATTCCTAAAGTGTACTAATGACCGGAACACCTGGCAATGATTCCAATACACGGGAGAGTTTATAAAAATCATGTGCAAGTAAAACAAGTTCAAGCTATACCAACAGCATCTTACAGTACAGTACAGTGCCTCGTTTGTATTGTAGAAAACCTAACATAAATCAATCTAATATGTATAAAGCCAACAGTCCTACATCCTGTGTGTATAGACATGTCTTCGAAGATCACTTCTGTTGGTTGATCTGAATGGACAATGTGGACAGGAAAATGGCTTCTCCCCGGTGTGAGAACGAATGTGGATCTGCAGGTTGTATTTTTTTGCTGAACGGTACTGGCAGTGAGGACAACAGTGAGGCTTATAGGCATTGTGAGTCTGCTGGTGCACATTTAGATCATTCTCACTCATAGCCTGATAAGCACACTGCGCGCAAAAGTACATTCCCTCTCCGCTATGGTTTATAATGTGCCTGATCAAGAGAGAGGGTTGAGTAGTGACATAGGGACAATCGGGGCATTCGTGTTTCTTGCGTGCGGACGTGCCATTCTTCTTCTCTTCACCTCCATTCCCCTGGCCATTAGTGTTCAGCTTCACCTGTAGGGGAGGTCTCTCTTATTCATCATCGAACATGTACAGTACAGTAAGTCATAGTATATAATAATGTCCAGCAGTCACCCTTTGTACTCCAATAATATTTTTCATCTCAATAAAACTTGTAAGATGTGAAAACACTTGGTATCTCAGGGCTTTAAGTCATTTCAATTAGTCGTTATTTTGGGCGGCTAAGATGGGTCGGCTACAACACAAACATCTGTACATTAAATTGATTGATATATATATATATATATGTTATGTATATATTTATATATATATGTATATATATATATATATATATATATATATATGTATATATATATATATGTATGTATGTATGTATGTATGTATGTATGTATGTATGTATGTATGTATGTATGTATATATATATATATATATATATATATATATATATATATATATATATATATATATATATATATATATATATATATATATATATATATATATATATATATATATATATATATATATATATATATATATAGCCCCCCCCCAAAAAAATTCGCGGATTTTTATTTCACCGTCCTCTATTATTCGTGTATGACACTCTGGATGTACCCAAGAATGTCTGTGGGTAGTTCTAAAGTTGCCAGCATTTATGCAGCTGGGACGGAGCCATTCGTTCTGGAGACAGTAATTTCCTTTACCTGTATTGTAAATATGTGTGTACACGCATGCACACGCACATACACACACACAAATAACATTGGGAAAATTCTCTCACAATTAATCAGAAACAAATTAATTAAAAATGTGACAGTCCATATTATACACTACCCTCAAGTCCCTGCTTTATTACTTTATTAATAAAGCACAGACTTGAGGGTATTTTCCCATTATTATTTATTTGTATGTTTTGTGTGTCTACACACACAAAACACATATATACAATACAGGTAAAAGTAATAATTGTCCTAAAGCAAACACAAAGTGCTTATGCATTTCTTTGTACACAAGTAAAAATGCAACCCCCGTCAGCAAATGTTATTCGTGGCCATTTTGAGAACCTAACCCCCGCGAATTTTGGGGGCCCCTGTACACAAAAGCCCCTTTAAGTCACACTTAAGGTTTAACTGGCAATAATCTTTTATTTACTTACAAAGTTTGATTGAAAACTAAGAACTAGTTGCTGCTAATGAAAGTGAGGAATCGTAGCCATGTCAATTACTGTCCTGTATGTGGTAACAATCCCTAATATAGTACCAGACTTTAGAAGTATCCCACCATTTTTTTGTATTTATCCATAACAGTTCAAATGTCATACAGTACTAAGGAGATATACAAAAGTCTACACAGTACTGTATAAAAAATTCTAGTTTACACACAGGTCCTGTAGGTGAAGAGTAAACTTCGACTTATAGCCATATATTCCTGACCTCTGATCACAACACCGAGGCGACAACCCTAAGTCGTGTACAGCTCCTCCATGTGAAGGCACACTTGACCCAATCTGAGGCAAACTGGATGAATAAATGCTCAGATCTCCTCCCGAGAAAACTGACAGAAATGATCCCATAATCCCCTTTTCTGACTGAACAAAAACCTAGGGTGGCTTTCATAATAAACAGGCTTACAAATGTGAAGTTGAAGACCTGAGATAACCCACTTTCAGTAGCCAGAGATGGTTTATTAACTCATACAGATGACCAATCACTGCCCACCTCCTCAGCACATCCACTGACCCAAAATGGAGAGTTCAGCTGCTACTATCTCGCTATAGATGAAGAAAGGGAGTTTCATTATAACCAAATCTGACCAATCGGTACACTTCATTCCCAGAACTATGGCTCTCCCCCCCCAATCCCCCAACTTATTCAGGGTCAATCTGCCATCTTCTTTCAATAACCTGTGAGGATTTAGCAACTTTGTTTTATCACTGTTGAGTTTTGTCTTACTTCCTCTCCTGTAATAGTGAAGAGGGGGCCCAGGAAATGTTGGTGTTGGCCTCTCAGCTGTATTTATCCAACCATCTTCCTCTGTCCCTTCATAAGATGTGCCATAGTTTGTGTACACCTTATTCTGTACACACTTTCAGAATTTGGGGGACTTGACTTGTGTCTTCAAATAGTATTCACTGCATCATTTTGTTATTTCCGAGTCAACTACTCCCGAAATCTTTTCTGAGTTCCACATTTTGTTGTACTGTATTTGATGGCTCAGGGCATCTCCCTAACTACAGAAATGTTGTACTGTACTGTACTACAGTTCCAGGTTGTTCCTGGTGTTATGATCTTGGATGGAAGGAATCAGTCCTTGGTTGATATGAGTCTTGGTGTAAAAGTATTCAACTGTGTCTCAACATTCTCTGCAGATTCTGTCATTAGTTCAACATCATCCACATTACATACATTTTCCATGCTTACAAGGATTAGTCGCCTTTGCCTGATGGTAGCTGTTGGGTAAAACCAGAATGGGATGTCCTTGACCCCACCCCTCACCACAGCAAATCAGTCTATATCAAGCTCATCCCTGATTAAATCACTACTAACTTCATCACAGAACATCTTGTGAAGTGTGTTATTTGTGACTGTAAAGAGACTGAATGTGTACAACCATCAGGTAGTGGTCACTTGTTGAAGATTTCCAAGGCTGGTGGAATCTCGCCAACCATCTGTTTGGTGTTTCCTTGGTAGCACTTCACTCACGTGTCAATCACAAGTAAGGTTCGGTCGAAGCACAGAGTCACCACCACTGGCAGAGGTCACCCATCATCAGTGGAAGTTAGCTGTAGGGATGGCAGCCATCATCAGTGGAAGTCAGCTGTAGGGACGGCAGCCATCATCAGTGGAAGTTAGCTGTAGGGACAGCAGCCATCATCAGTGGAAGTTAGCTGATGGGGGGCAGCCATCATCAGTGGAAGTTAGTTGTAGGGATGGCAGCCATCATCAGTGGAAGTTAGCTGTAGGGACGGCAGCCATCATCAGTGGAAGTTAGCTGTAGGGACGGCAGCCTTCATCAGTGGAAGTTAGCTGTAGGGACAGCAGCCATCATCAGTGGAAGTTATATGTTCCTTGCATACCACTTTTTAAAATATTGAAGTGGGGTAATGAAGCTTTAGCTGCTGACCAAAAGTTAAAAGAGCGCAAATAAACCAAGAGATGGTCATATACACACTAATATTTCCACGCTAACCTAGCCCAAAAGCCACGCCCCTCTACTATACTAATAACTAATTGGTTCATAGAAAATTCAAACTAAATGTGTTCGCAATCATTGGTACACAGACTGTTATTAACTAAAGTAATGTTAAATATCTGAACTATCAAAATGCATATGATTTCAAGGCATTAACACTTCAGAGAGGACATAAGAAATTTTTTTAAATTAATCATAAAAGCTTGATATAAATATGCGCTTATACATGCACAGTCCGGGGAGGTTGTAAAACACTCAGGGAAACCAATCAGGCCATTTGTGGCTATAGATGAGGGGCATGGCTTATGGGCCAAGTTAGCATGGAAAGGGTATAGTATGGTGTGTCAAGTTAAGTGTATCAAGTTAAGTGTGTCATTAAGTGTATCAAGTTAAGTGTGTCTAGTTAATTTGTCAAGTTAAGTGTGTCTAGTTAATTTTCTAGTTAAGTGTGTCTAGCTAAGTATGTCAAGTTAAGGTAATTGTTTCTAGTTACGATCTGAATGAAATTTTATTCAACCAAAAGGAAGGAGGTTGAGTGTGTATAAGTAATGTTAATTAATTCCACTAAAACCAGAATGGGTTCACCTAAAGACTTGCTCCCCCACACACAGATTATTTCACTGATGATTACCCTGCTTTATGCTACCCGGGGTATTTTCAGGTGAAATAATCAGGTTTGGAAGGTTAGGTTAATATTAATCTTCAGGAGAAATAAGCAGGTTAGGTTAGCATTAGCGTGGTTAATCTTCAGGTGAAATAAGCTAAGGGGGGGGGTTGCAAATCTTTAGATGATCATCACAAATGTTACTACTATACTGTACAGTATAATGTTAAACTCTCAAAACTAAAGATCTAATAGTTAAGTATGCAGTATGCTGAAACTCTACAAGTCAATCCTTTAAAAGAAAACCTTATGAACATTGACCAATAATTATTTAAACCCAAAAGTATTATAGTAAACTGTATCTATAACTATTAGACTCTTCCAGTAGCATTATGGTAAATAGTACAGTCTCACCCCAAAAGTTTGTTAACTCTCCCAGCCAGCTATTGCAGCACTGCCTGCTTCAGATGTTTGAAACTGTCTCAGTACCAACCAGAACATGAAACCGATACGTATGAATCTAAAGGCTCGAAGTAACAGACTCAAGTTCATACATCTGAAGCAGGCAGTGCAGCAATAGCTGGCTGGGAGAGTTAACAAGCTTTTGGGTGAGACTGTACTAAGGATAATTATTATTATAATTCAAAGCTTAAACCTTCCCCCAAGAGCTTTATGGTAAACTGCTCTCAGGATAATTACTCTCCCAAAGTTTAAAAAAAATCAAAGAGCCTTATGGTAAACTGTACCTAGGAAAATAATTCTCTTCGAAAGGCTGGTGGAGTCGTGGACGGCCTGAACGAGCAGTGGGTAGGGTGGAGGAGTTGTCTTTGAGCTGGCCTTTCTTCACCATCCTGAGGTACTGTTTGTGTATGTTTCTCACTGTGGACTCGCTCAACTTCCTGTTCAACTTGCACGACAACTCCCTGGCAGCTTTAGAGGGGCCCATCTCGGTGCAAGCCTTGGCAATTTGCAGACGTTCCTCGGGAGTCCAGCGGTTGTAGCCTCCGCGGCTTTTTGAGATTAGAGAACTCCCAAAGAGTTCCATCTGTTGGTTGATGGCGGCGATAAACTTGACTCCTTCACTACATTCAGATGAGGGTTTTTTTATCACACAGTCCATGGGAATGAGTAGGTTTTTAATGTTCTTGAAATAGGACATTACTTTTATGTATGTCAAGAGTGAAGGGTATTGAAGCCAACCACTAATGGAGTGTGAAGTGAAAGATTCTTCCTCCTC